ACATAGATGTTTGGAGAAACAAGGAGTGGCTCCCCTCACACAGGAGCACCTACCTGGAACCAAAGACTCCTAGAGGCCAAGGGGGGAGGATGGAAAGTCTGGCCCAGCCCAGCAGGCACTGACTTACTCTGTCACTGCCTTATTCTGTTGCTGACTCCCTATCCTTCTCTCTGCTGACGTGGTGTATTTGTTCTATTAGCCCTTTTGTTAATGTTAGCTTCAAGGCCTCTTTCTAAGACATGCTTCAGAAGTTTTTTGGAGTGCTGGTTTGGCAGTCATGAACTTGTCAGGTGTTCTCCACCATGAAGCTATCTTACTTGTCCATTAATCTTAAGGACTGTACCTTTTAGGGCTCGAACCACTTCAGATCTATGTTGAAAACAGTATTCTGGTGGGTTTTCCTTTATAAGTGGTTTGCTGCTCTTCCCTAACCACTTAGGATTCTGTCCCTGTGCTGCACATCCAGGACTTTCATGGTGCAGGCTTTTCTGCATGTGACTGCTGGGAGTTCTGTGATGCCTCAGCTACCACCATGCGGAATTCTGGCTAGTATTTCCTGCCCTTTTTAGTGTATATGAGATTTATACTGATAACCTGTTTTTTATTCTTGACTTTGATAAGCTGTGTTCTTTCACCTTTTCTATCTTGTCCTGCGTTAGTCTGGCTAAGGGTAACTTTTCCCTAACATTGTCAATTTTTTCAGTTTTTTAACCTATCACATTGATTTCTAGCTTTACTTTAGCATTTCCTTCCTTTTATTTACTGGAGGGTTACACTATGCTTTTCTAGCTTCTTAGGGTAGAACCTTATTCATTTACTACAGATCTTCTATGCTAATACAAATATTGCTATACTTTTTCTTCTAGGTACTGTTTTAGCTGTATTAAATTTTGTCAGATTTGAAATATTTTTGTATCATTCATAAGTATTTTCTAAATTCTCTTGTAATGTCTTTTTAAACTGTAAGTTATTTAGACATGCATATTTAATTTTCTACTATTTAATGTTTTGCTAGATAGCTCACTGACTTCTAATTTGTAGATAGAGAATATACTCTTTATTTTCAAAACTTTATGATTTGCTGATACTAATTTTATGGGTCAGCAATGGTTCAAACCTGTTGAATGTCCTCTTAAAAGAAATTTCTATTATTCAGTTGCAGTGTTTTGTAAAAATTAATTAGGTTAAAGCTGTTGAAAGTTCACTTAGTTCCCATCTTTTTTTTTTTTTTTTTTGGTACCGAGGATTGAACTCAGGACCTTGTGCTTGACAGGCAAGCACTTATTCTACTGAGCTATCTTCCCAGTCCCATTAGTTACCATCTTTATTAAGGTTTTTGCCAAGTTATTCTGTCAATTGTTGAAAATGAGATTTTCAAATCTGTCTAAATGTATGTTTATTTCTCTTTAACTATCAATTTTTTTCTTCATTTATTTCAAATTCTCTTCTGAGGTGTATATACATTTATCACTCTTATCAGTTAGCCATTATAATGTCTATGAATAGTATGACTGAATATAATGAAAAAAGAGAATGGAGAAAAATCAAATAGTATGGGTATATTTGTATGTAACTAAAGGTCAACTGTGCTTTTAGGGTTATTTCTCAATGGTGTATCATCTGAACTCAGAAGAAACTTGAAATTTTCTGAATATAAAACACAAGACCCTATTATCTTTCAGGTTTGAACATTTACAGAAAAACTCATTTCAAACTACTTGAATAAATACTTGCTTCAGAACTAGTAATGAATGAATAGGAATCAATTTGTCATTATGATAAGAGCATTTTTCACGTAACTCCGGCAGTTTCTTTACTGGACCTACTGTTACTAAAGATGATGGGTTCTATGCTCCATGTTGGACCCATAAGAAAGCAATTCAACCCAAAATGATCTAGCACTGTCTCCAAGAGCGCTGCTGCGCCCGCTTCCTCCAGCGGCCCTCAACTGTGCACCTGCTGTGAAGACAACACAAGGAGACTCATGTAACAGTCGCATCACATCATGACATGAAGTAGGGCCATCAGGTATTATTAAATTAGCCTGAATTTTACAGTAGCTTGCAGCATTCATCCTCATTAATAGCAGAGTTTCTAGGTGATTTTATTGAAGAAAAACAGCTTCAAGGTGGTATTTGAATATGACTTTAAAAAAAAATGTATTTGGTACAGGGTCTCACTATGCAGCTCAGACTCATGATCCTCCTGTTTTCAGCCTCCCCAGCTCTAGGATTAATTAAAGGCATGGGCTACCACACTAGAGTTGGTGGCTAGTTCAGCACACTTGGGGGTGAGGCAGGCGAGGCATGTGGTATGAGGGATGGAACCCCAGTTCCTGTGTTTGCCTAAGCAGGTGCTCAGTCCACTGAGCTATCTTGCCGGCCCTCTTTGGACATGATTTTACAGTCCCTAATTCATATTGCCTTGGAGTTATGTCATTTGTAAATAGGTGAGATAAAATGACAGCCAAGTAGGGAAGTCTATTTTTCCTTCTCTGACCCATCATAATAAACACTGTTATATAAGCTTTTAACTTCTACAAGTTACATGTTTTTCTTTGAATGGGAGGCACAGACCTTTTTAACTCTTGGATTTCCTTAGCTTTCTTACTTGGGCCCCAAATCAGCTCATGTCATGCACCATACTCCCTCCTAGCAACCGAAGTACAGAGCTAAGGAAGATCAGCAACAATAGCACTGATCCCTGCAGTTACGATTCCTTGTACTTCTCAGGAGCCCTCCTGTCTTCACTGCGGCTGTTCTTGCTACAGTATAGTCCTCTCCTGACTCTGCTATATTCTCTATTTCCTCTCCAGGACATGTATTGCTTCTTAAAGTTTTCAGAAATGAATCGCTCCTGTGCTTGAGTACCTTTAGATCTTATACGCAGCACTGTGTATTTTTATATTGCATCACATACCTTAGTAACCTTGGTATGTTTTGCTTTGGCTTGCCAGATTTCCAAAATGTTTATACAAAGGTATTAAACAGTGGTCTTTAATTCATGTTTTTTTTTAATACTTCATATATCCTGAGATTTATCATACACAAACGAGTTGTTTCTCAAAGCACAAATATCAGTCCAAGTGAATTAGAATTGCCTGGGGCACTTGATAAACATAAATTCCTAGCACCTTCCTCACCCAAATAAAATGGAAAGAGTTAAGGGCATACACTATGAATCTGAGACTACATACTAAAGTACTGTGTAATCATATCACAGCTAAAAATCTCAAATACGGGTTTATGTTCACCACTTACTAAGCAATATAGCTTTAAATACAAACTACTTTTTCACAAGTTCACAGAATTTAACCTTCAAAGACCTAAAAAACAGGTGGAAGTAGAAGTTGCTAATACAGTTCTCAAATGAGGGAATCACCTCAGAGATAGGATTTAAATCTATGCCTTTTTACTTATAACGCTCACCTGACATTTACTGATTTTCTAGTATATAGTATCAGGAACTGAGAATGGCACTTTCGTATACCTGACAAAGATCAGCTGAGTAAGATTATGAAGATATAACCTCATATTCAGTATTGACTGGCCCAGCTGCTGCCTTACATCTGAGATCCAGTTGAAAAGAATCGTATGGCCTGCAAGCAGGACTGGCAGATGAGTCCATTCAGTGATACGTCATGTGGCAGTTTACAGAACTCTTTACACTAGGGGACTCTGCAGTTACTTTTATCAACTATCTGTGGTCAAAAGAAAATAAATTATTTTCAAAGTTTTATTTTTCTCTAAACCCATTCAGAGAAGAAAAGTAACAAGATTTCTGACCATGTGCCACCATGCCGTATAACCTCAGTATTCTAGGAGAATAAGGCAGAAGACTGAAGGTTTGAGCGCAAGTTTGGCAACTTAGTGACTAAAGGAGATCTCCACATTGAAAAAGGGCTGGAAATCTATCTAGCTTAGTACAAAGTCTCCACGTTCAATATTTACAGGACAAATTAACAAAACAAAATATGTCTGACAGAAGTATTGATATCAGAAATGAGATCCTGGACCCCCCACTGCAAATCCTTCAAGAATTAAACTACAAAATTCAAATCTGTACCATAAAAAGAGTAAATTCTTATAGCAATTACAAATGAAATATGAAAATCTCAAATCCATGACTGATCTGGCCTAAAAGGATACTGTGCTTATCAATGGATATTACCACACACACAAAATACAATAAGTGGTCAATCTAAGCTAATGCTTTTGCCTTTCACAAATGTTAGACAAGTACTTTACCAGAGGCCAGAAGTTCAGTGCCACTTTTCTCCTGACCTACCGTGGCCTAAACAAGCGTGTATACATTTCAGTGCTCTGTAACTGGCTGACCATGGTGGAGTGCTGGTGATATTTAACAACTGGATAAAGAAGAGACACCTGATTTGTAGCATTTTTTATTTCCATAGTACATACACGTCTATGCTACAGTTTTAAGACATCATGTGACACCAACCTTGCCATAAAAAAAAATAAAAATATTTAACTCTTGTGATTTGATCAGAGCTAGTAATATGTATCACTGGTTATCTCAGAAATGCTTATAATGAAACAATAAAAGTTAACAAAATGACAGACCAGCAATTCTATTTTTCTGTGGGAACTATGTAAAAATTTTTTCAGAGATGACAGGCATTTTAGAGGAGTAGAAACTTTGGATACTTCATTTACAGTTAAAATGGAAGTGGGTTATCAAAATCTTTGTTCATAATCTTTGTTCATATCTTAAAACTGTTTAAACAAAGGAAGGAAAAGAAAAAATATGTTTAATTGCTGAAAATAATCTATGGAGTCAAAGAACTAACTAAATAATGGTAAAATAATGTGGATTTCTAGCTTTATTATTACAAATAAATGTCTAAAAATCATCTCTTTGGCTGGGTATGTAGTTCAGTAGTAAAATGCCTGCCTAGGACATGGGAGATCTTGTGTTACATCCCTAGCACTGGAGGTGGTGGGGTATCAACTCATTGGTTTTTTATTCACAAAACTTACTTGACAGCCTGGTAATCCGGTATCTCTGCTGTACAAGGAAAATGAGCCTCTTTCTGATGTTTTTCCTACAGAATAAAGAAAACAACTTTACATTAAAAATCTTCATTTACTGACAATTCAACTTCTAGATTATTTTGGGTAGTCTGAAAATTGAAAATCGCAAACTAGAAACCCGGAATTAGATTTTTAAAAAAATTCTAAAAAGCATACTCTAATTCCAAAGAGTTACCTCTTTCTTTACATAAAATAACCTGTAAACACCTTTATTGTGAATGTATAATAGTGATAATACACTCGAAAGAATGAGTAAGAACAGATGTCTAAATAGCCCACAATACAGTCCATGCACCCACCAGCAAAAATGATACTTTTACCGTATCTGCTTCAAGCTGAAACTGTCTCATCTCCTCTCTTTCAGAGATTAAAAATACTGTAAGTATAGCTCTACCCCAAACCCAAGATGAGTATTAAGTTGGTGTGTGAGTGCCATATATTTTGCATTTTTAAATATAGTGGTACCTCAGTTCAGAAACTTACTTTGTTCTATGGTTTTGAAAAAGATGTTTGTATTTGCATTTGAGTAGGAAAGATGGCTAGTCATGTTTATCACTCAATGCAGTTTACGAACAAAAACAAAATTCTGTCAAATAATTCTGCTTGTGAACCAAATCGTTTGCATATAAAAGCATTTGGAAACTGAGGTACCACTGTATATTTACACACTGAAATGATATACATTACTAAGTTTAATGCACCAAAGCAGATGATATTATATGTACCAACCCTTTTGAAACTTGTCTTTACATGCAACCTTGTTTCAGAGATACAGTGTATACTTATAACAGATACTAGGCTCATTCATTTTTAGTTATAAAATTGTCTCATTACACAAATGAAAGCACTTTATTCTTCCATTGAACGCAGTCTATTATTATGAGCAACATTGAAACAAGTATTTTCCAACATACAAGAGTTTTCCCATGACAGACACAAGTGACAACGGTGAAGTAAATGATGTATATTATCAGCCTTAGAGGCATTGCCTTTGTATTCTCTGCAGTCCTGCTGTCAATTTATACCTTGCTTGGTGATGCTTAGGAGTGCTTGTGGGGACCATATTCACTATGAATATGTTTATGATGGGTCTTGCTGCTGGAAGCTCTGAAACACCACAGGGACATGCATGACAAGCTCTTGTGCTGACTAAAGACAGAACTTCCACTTGTTCTAAAGATGTTACTTTATGCTCAGTAAAGTGAACATTCAAATATGATGTAATTTTTTATATGATTTTAATTAGTCCCTTGCAAGTAGACATGTTGTGTAAAAAGATTTCTGCAAACAGATAACAATTTGATGGCAACATAAAAACTAGGCAAAACAAATAAGCTCTCTATTCAAAGGTAAAAACAGTAACTGTTTGAATCTGATAAAGTTACTCAAAAGATTTAAAAGTAAGACTATGTGGAAGGGCCAGCCAGATAGCTCAGTGGACTAAAGCATCTTTTTAGGCAGAGCACAGTGGCCAGGGTTCAATTCCCAGAAATGCTGTGCCAGCCCTGCCCCCAGGGCACGCTGCAAGGGCAATTGAGAGTGGGCGTGGTGACACCTGCCTACACTCCCACTGCTTGGGAGGCTGAAAACACGAATATTACTATGAGTCTGATCTATATAGTGAGACCCTGTAAACCCAGTGCTAAAAAAAAAAAAAAAAAAAAGACTATGTGGAGATGACCATAATTATATACTACTATTCACTGAGTTCTCAGCTTATAACTATATAAAAATGTATGTAGTTTATTACATCATTACATCTCTGCAGTTTACTGATTTAAAAACCTGGATGAATGGAGTACCACGGCTTTGCTTTTTTTTTTTTTTTTGTAACAGGGATTAGGGTCGGGGAGATGGCTCAGTAGAATAAGTGCTTCCCTGGCAAGCACAAGGGCCTGAGTTCAATTCCATCAAAAAACCAAAAAAAAGCCACAGCACAAGTACCAGGGATTGAACTTCAGGCCTTGTGTTTACCAGACAGGCACTTATGCCACTGAACTATATCCCCACTATATCCCCAGCCCTGAATGAATACATAGGATGCTCAAATTTGTTTACTGAAAATCTTGTAAATATATGTAGTTTAATGTAACTTTTAGATCTTTTACTATTCTCTTTTTTCCTTCCTTCCAAATAGATTTTTTTCAATAATGTATACATACTATTTTGGCTGAAGTAAATATCTTAAATCTGCTAATTCCTTAGATAATGACCCTGTAATAATAAATCCAGTTATTATGAAACACATTAACAGTTGAGAATATTATTTCTGAGTCCAATAAAGATATTACAGCATGCCTTTTCAGAAAAGTTTCTGGGGACGGCAAGATAGCTCAGCAGACTAAAGTACCTGCTGAGGCAAGCTTAAGCAAGCACAGGGATCCCATCACCGTATGCTAACACCAGCCTTCCCCCTGGGGTGGTCTGAACTGGCCAGAGTCTAGGCGTAGTGGCACATGCTGGGGAGGCTGAAAGCAAGAGGGTCACTAAGAGTCCAAGCTGTGTAGTAAGACCCTGTAACAACCAGATATATAAGAAAGCAAGAAAGAAAGGTTTCCTGGTTATTACGGTGACCCACCATCTTAGGTCCAGTAACACAAAACATTGTAGATTTATTTAAAAAAAAAAAAGATAGTTAAAATAGCTTGTTTACATTCTCACCATAAATATATTCTACACACAAAACTTTTAATTTGCCAAATATACTTATGAAGTGAAAAAAAATGCAATTTTTAAAGGATGTACCTTTTAAAGCAAGACCATTGAAGAGTCAAGGTGATACTCTATGATTTTCAATTCTTCTCTTGGGTGACCTGACCTCAAAAAAACCACTAAAAGGTTGTAATGCAGGGGCTGGGGAGATAGCTCAGTGACACAACAGCCTGCCTGGTAAGCACAAAAAAGACTGCAATGCACACAGTTCTGGTATATGCCCCTCCCCACATTTCATCAAAATGGATCAGACTCTTGAAAATGAACAGGGGGAGAGGAAAGCAAACAGAAATGCCAGTTTAGAGTAATTGAAGAGTTTATTGGGAAAATAATAAAAGATAACCTACATCTACAGTTTGGAGGTATAACACTTTTCAGTGAGATAAATTAAGTCACAGGATATTAAAATCATTCTCAGAACTCATCTTTAGTTTTAAAAATTATTGCCTTTGTAAGTGAACCCTGCCTCATATACATGGTAGGTAGGACAGAATAAGAGATGATACCAATATTTTGTGCAAATATGAAATGTGGCTACAACCAGTGCCTTTATCATTTACCACAATATACTATGAACTTAGTGGCTGTCATAGTCACAAAGCTCTTTCTCTGTTTTGCAGATTCCTCTTCTTGAAACACTGGGGTATTTTTGTTTGTCTTTTGAGTCAAACCTCTGTGTTGCAGGAAGGTTTCTACCTTGCAGCGTGATCTAGATTAGCCTGAAACTCACCATCCCCTGGCCTCGCCTCCTAGACTGCTGGAATTACAGACCATGTGCCATGGAACTTGGCTTTGAAACGCTTCAATAATCAGCACAAGCTCCAAGCCATGATATAATCATGCTACAGTGTATGTAAATATCACACCATGTCCCATAAACACGTATAGTTACTCAAATTTAGAACAAAGGCTTTGCAGTAAGTAACAATCTACAGTGTACTATATTTTCATTCAAATGTGCTAGGAAAAAACATTTATTTATTTATTGATATTTTAGGAAAACTCTTTTAAGTACCATGTTGAGGATGGAAAGCAAACAAAGCAATATCTGAATATAACTCTCATTTTTAAATAAAACATTAGTGCTATTAATTTTATAAAATTATTAAGTTTCAATGGGGTGTTTTCATACATTTATATTTAAATCTGTCCCCCAATCACCCATCCACACACCCTTTCCCTCCTTCTTTTCCTCTTGTCTTATAAAACGTTTCCTTCTATTGTCATTTTTTTTTTCAGATTCTACATGTAAGGGAAGACATGTGATATCTTTCTCCAAGCGTGGCTTACTTCACTTAGAATGACTGCCTCTTGCTATATCTATTTTTCTGCAAATGGCATGATTTCTGTCTTTATGATGCAATAATATTCATTATGTATATATACACACACACTACTATTTATCTGCTAATCTGCAGATGGGCATTTAAGCTGGTTCCAGATCTTGGTTGTCACGAAATGTGCCACACTACACATGGTTTATGCTGACTTGAATTATTTAGGGTATATATTTTAAGAAATAACATAACTAGGTCATATGGCAGTTCTAGTCTTAGTTCTTTTGAGGAAGCTGCATTCTGATTTCTTTAGTGAATGTACCAGTTTATACTTCCATGAGCAGTGTAGACATTCCCCACAAATCCCTCAAGCACTGCTTTTATATTCCTGATGACAGCCATTCTAACTACAGTGAGATGGAATCTCAGTATTTGCACTTCCTTCATGGAAATGACTTACTGGTTGTTTTTACTTCTTTTAACAAGTGGCTTGTACAACTCTTGCCCATTTACTGACTGGACTATATGACCCTTATTTTTGGAGTTCTTGATATACCACAGATATTAATTCTTGGTTGGAAAAGAAGTACTACTTGTTGACTTTCGCTATTACTCCCTGTGCTACTGGCTTCCTAACTAGAAATCTTTGCCTGTACATATGGCTCTAAATGTTTTCCTAGTGGTTTTTAAGTTTTAGGTCATAATCTAGCTCTCTGATCCATTTTCTCAGATTCATTTATTAAAAAGGTTGTTTTCTTCTCAATGGACATTTTTTGGCTGCTTTGTTCAGAATCAGATAGCTAAAGTTGCATGGGTTTATTTCTGTGTCCTTTATGCTGTTCTACTGGTCTACAAATCTATTTTTATGCCAGAATCATGTTTTTGTTATTGTGGCTTTGTAGTATAATTTGAAAACACATATTGTGATGGCCCCAGCCTTGTTCTGTTTGCTTAAGACTGTTTCTGTTATTCTGGGTCTTTTGTGCTACTTATGAATTTTAAATTTTTTTTGAGTATTGTGA